CAAGCCTGGCTCGGCTCTAGGAAGACCCCCAGGACTCCCCCATTGAGCCCGACCCTGGGGTGATGCTGTAAAAGGCAGGGCGCCACCGAGAACAGGAAAAGAGGAAGACCCAAAGCGAAGTGGATTGACTCCCGCACAGAAGCCAGGGCTCCGAGTTTGATTCTCTTGCATTGACCCAAATCAAGCCTGGCTCAGCTCTAGGAAGACCCCCCCAGGACTCCTCCATTGAGCCCCACCCCAGGGTGATGCTGTAAAAGGCAGGGCGCCCCGAGAACAGGAAAAGAGGAAGACCCAAGGCGAGGTGGATTGACTCCGGCACAGAAGCCTGGGCTCCGAGTTTGTAAGAGGGGAGGCTGCTCCTGATCATGGAGGTCAGCCGGTCATTGGGTCAGGGCAAGGCGGAGGCCCTTGACAGCCACCTGCCTGTTGTTCCAGAAGGTGATGGAGGAGCGGTGTTGCAGATGAAGGAATGGGTGCCCTTGAGTAGGGTGTTCGAATTCCCCCAGAGTAACCCATATAAACTCACTGAGAACTGGAAACTTAGAAACCTGTACAGTGTTTGAATACACAGTGAACTCAATTCCTTCTGCAAGAGCTTCCTTTAAGTTATGGTAGCAAATAAGATTCTCAGCAGGCCTCGAAGTGAATGGTGTCAAGTTAAATGGACCAGTGTTTCTTGTGCTTTTGATTCCAAAAACACCTGTTGTGCCCCTGATACTGGCCGTTCAAATTTTATTTGAAGTTTATGTACACGGAGAGCCAACTGAGGAAGCGGCTGTGGTGCTCTGATGCTTAGTTTGACCGGCAGTGTCTCTCCAAATTCTTCCCTGTCACTTTTTACTAGAAATCCTTTTCACCAAAGATACTGGCAAGAATGTTCAGCTTCCAGTTCTACAGCAGGATCAAGAACGGAGGGTCCGTCCGTCTGGACAGTAGGCTTAACATGTTTGAGGAACGTTGCTTCCTAAAATGGCAACACACGTATTTTCTTTGCTTAGCCTGATATTTTCTTTGCTTGTGTATCTTGCATTTAGTCTGCTTTATTTTGTGGTTGGTCGTGCAGAATTCCTAAGGTCTGGTTTATCCGAAACGTTTGTGTTTGCAGGAATGTGTGTATGTGCGCACAGGCAGGTAAAACAATTGTGAGTTTAGTTTTCAATTTAATTCCTTCTTAATTTCCAGTGTGCATCCATCATCTTAAACCAAGATTTTTATTTTGTTTCAGTTGATGGCCCTTGGAGAGTTTTTTGTTTCTTTGTTTAACTGTTACACACACACACACACACAAACAGAATTCAGTGATGGGGAAGAGTCTAATTTGTTGAGTGCCTTAGAGCTAAATGACCAAACCTATTTTTTTTTCTCTCTCTCTCTCCTTGTTTCCCAGTGAAGTGATCCCCAAATGGGTTCATGCTATTATTCGGCCTATAGCCAAGGAGCTCGAATCCTTCGCCCCACAGCCGTTTGCAGGAGAGATTCGGGGAATTTGTGACGCTCTGGGGCTGGATGTTGGGGACGGACTTCTCCTCAACCTGGCATACGAATCTACTGCGTAAGTATTCGCACCGAGGGTTTCAGAGGTGGTGAGGAAAAAGTTCATGGCTTGCAAGGAACTAGTAAGCAAAGGTGACGTGAGGACAAAGCAGACGTTTGCAATCCTCTAGCGGCTGCCAAGAGTGACGAACTGCTGCCAATAACATCTGGGAAAAGAAGACATGACACATGATGGTGTCATGCTGGAAATTAGTAGGCATTTAGCAGATCAAGGAAATTCTGCTCTCCACCTGCCCCTTTCTTCAGAAAGTCTGGTTGACATCATGGCTGAAAATCAGGACAAATTTTAGAGCAGTACAACAGTGGAACTCATTTTCTTGAGAGGTGGCGAGCGCTCCAACTCTGGAGGCGTTCAAGAGAAAAATGGGGCCACCCTCTGTCTGATCTGCCTTGATTTGGATTCCTGCCTTGAGCCGGGGGTTGGACCCGATGGCCTTAGAGCAGGGGTCCCCAAACCCCCGGTCTGCAGCCCCGTGCTTGTCCGTGGGCTTCCCAGGACTGGGCCACAGAGATGGATCTCCACCCCCCCTGCACACACGCAGGGTGGGCGTGTCACGCTTACATCCATGCAACCCCCCCGCCCCCGCGCACAGAGCCTGCCTCTCCAACCGGTCCGCGGTTCCAAAAAGGGTTGGGGACCGCTGTCTTAGAGGCTCCATCCAACTCAGTCCTTCTGCGATTCTATGATCATTTGCCCGACTTTTCTGCCTGTCTTGAGGGAGACAAAGACTGAGCCATACTGGGCTGGGCTGTAAGTGGGAATTTCCGCTTCCTCAGCCTCTGGGCCGAGCTAGCAGACTAGAATCCCCAGAATCCTCTGATTCAAATGTTTTTCAAGTTCATTTGGGGTCTTTCTTCCCTCCTGAAGACACACAAAGACACAATCGATTTTCCAATCGTTTAGCGTGCAGGACTTATAGCTGGCTCAGTAGCCCTTTAAAAGGCATTCTTAGCTGCTGTTCTCACCCTTCTGTCAGAGCAAGATGGTCATTTCTCAGAAGGAATTTCCCTCCAGTTGTTGCAGCCTTTATTTATCTTTGAAGATGACTCATTTTAACAGGCCAGCAGAAGCAGAACACGAAGTTCCTGTTTCCTTTCTTGATTCTACTGTGCTAAAGTTTTACTTTCACAAGCGAGAGGGGCCTGCAACAGAACATTGCAGCGTGGTTCTCTGCCTTATAAAGATGTCCCTTCTGCAGGATGTACAGTAAATGGCATTGTCTCTGTTCTGGATAAAAGGGACGAGAGAGGGAACTCTTCTCAGCTGTCTTCTTCCAAACACCATGTGGTTTGCGCACGGACACTCAACATCGCATGGCTTCTGAGCAGCTCGAATTCTCGCGTCCAGTCTCCCAACTTTTGGACTTGTTTATGGCCGCAATTGTAAACGATAAGTTTCCATAAATATTTCCTCGTTTTTAAGCAGTCTTGTTTGAACCTTCATCAGAACTCATCACCTGTGCTTGCTATTAGAGAGAGTGATTTATTACCAGCCTGTAGCCAAAAATTGCCCAGCTTAGACCCAGTCCATAAATGGGCTTCTCCTCTCCTCTTTCATCTTAGTGTCTTCCTGCCTCAGTTAGTTGCCCATCAGTTTTGACCACCTCTTCCAAGTTTCCCTTCCCGCACAGAAGCTGGATGGCAAACATGTTGACAGCCTGGTTCATTTGGGAAGTTGGAACATGTCATGTCATGCTGCTAGTCCAGACCATTGGAATTCAAATCCTTGGCGTCACAAAGGCAGTGTTTCTAAGCTCCCCCACGGATGCTGAAAAACGTGGATAATAGCAAACACTAGTATAATAGCGAACACTATACAGTACATAACATTCTGGCTCCCTCCAGTGGCCAGTTCATTGTTAGAAATATATATTTCAGTAATTTTTCTTTTAATATTTTAAATATTTTCAGACCATGGATAAGTGAATCAGCAGATACTGATCCCGTGAATAAGGGGGTCCTACAGTAGGACCCCTTATTCACGGGATCAGTATTTGCTGATTCACTTATCCACGGTCTGAAAATATTAAAAATACTGTATACAGTCCTACTGTAGCTGGATGCAGTGTAACTCAGTACATATATCAGGATGTTTCTAGTGGACTTACATCCATAAAAACGTTAACCCTTAGTTACCCGAATATCAGCCTGTAGAACAGTGGGGTGGGCAATCACCAGAGAGGTCTGGGGACTGAATATGCCCAGCCTTGGGTTTTGAAGGGCTGTGTCTCCTCCTACAACCCCTGTTCCACCAGGGGTTTTTTTCGTTACAAAAATCAGATTTTTTTTCTTTTTACTTTAGTTTCTTTTTAAAGAAATTAAACTATTTTGGAACCCTTTTTTTAAAGAAAAGGACAAGACTGTCCCTCTTGACCCCTAGGTGGCGCAAGGGGGCTTTTCCGACCGAGCAATGTCAATACTACATAATATCGTAACCATTACTTAGAACGTGTGAATATATCAGCCCACAACGTGATTAAGGACAGGGGCCTCCATCCTTCGGCTCCTGAGCTTCTTGTAGGCAGAGAAAGGCCACCCCTTTTCGTTTGTTTTTCTCTCTGTGCCCGTATGTTTCCTTTCAACCGAGAAGCCGTGTTCAGCGGTTGTGGCTAAGCCTGTCCTTCCCTTTTTAGAAGCGTGCAGCGCACCCAAAACGGATGCGCCTCCTCCCTGAAGTAATGCAAGTGCTGCGTTTTGGGGAGACCAACTGACACTTATTTGCATTTTTGCTCATTTGCCTGAGCAGCTCCGAACTTCTCAGCTGTGCCTCCTCAGAGGTGCGTGAGTAGTTTCGGTGTAAATAGGCTTCTCCATTCTGTTCAGGAGAGAAAAATCACAGGGCTTATTTCCGTTTAGACATTCATTGAGCTGCCCGTGGCCTGCGGAGCCAGAGTTTGGGAGTTTGATTCTCCGGTGGCACCTCCATGACAGGAGCTGGACTTGATGACCTATCGGGGTCCCTTCCAGCTCTGCCCTTCTAAGAGGAAATGAACGGGGAAGGTTTTGGCAGAAGGTCACTGACATTTCAAGGTTCTCAGTTGAACCCTTTTGTCTCGTAAAGAATAGCTCTGGAGGGTACATGTGTTTTCATACTGTCTTCTTGCCCAGTGGCCTTCATTTTTACACAAACGTTCAGAAGACATTGTTTTGTGGGTTTTTTCCTCTCATTATCCTTGTATTTTTGTCCTGCAGATTCTGCACGAGCATCCTCGCTCAAGATAAGAATGGACACATCTATCACGGACGGAACATGGATTATGCTTTTGGAGATATTTTGCGCCAGATTACCATCGAAGTGAATTTTGTAAAGAATGGGCAGGTATGAAATAGATCGAACAGTGATCAAGAATTCCTGAGAGAGAAAGGAAAAACCCACACTAAGTAGGCTGGAACGAAACATTTACAGTGTTGGGAGGGACTCTGAGGCCATGGGCAGAGTGAGGCGACTGACTCAGTGTCAGATCGCACCTAAAGTGATCACGTTCGAATAAAACAGTTCAAATACAGGTTCTCCTCAATCTGCGTTTGTTGAATTAGCCAAATTTCATTTTGTAATTGGAACACAGCCCACTTTTGTTTCCATGTCTGTTGTCTCAGCCTGTAGCACTGAAAGGTTTACATGCCCAGAGGGATAACGTTCCCAAAAGCGGAGATATTGTACATGTTTGTCTCTTTACGTACCTGACTCTCCCGCTGGAGGTTTTGGGTGTCATGAAGGGGCACCAAATGGCATTCCCTTTTCTTTCCTCACACTTTGTATGCTCGGTGTATGTTTATTTCCTTATTCTATTTGTAAATGAAACACAATGTGAATTTTAATCATTGTTTTCATCTCTGTTAACCCTCTAAAGCAGCCATTCCCAATGAGGGGGGCATAGGCCCCCCGGGGAGCCCTGCCCCATTTGAAAGGGGCCACAAATTAGAAATGTTTCTTCACACATCACCTACCGTGTTTCCCCAAAAATAAAGACAGGGTGTTATATTAATTTTTGCTCCATAAAACACATTAGGGCTTATTTTCAGGAGATTTTTTTTAATGTACAACCATCTACATTAATTAAATACAGTCATGTCATCTTCTTCTGGTTGCTGCACAAGGGCGGAGGGTGGGGTTTCATTTAACTGAGGCTTATTTTTGTGGTAGGGCTTATATCTCGAGCATCCTGAAAAATCGTACTAGGGCTTATTTTCAGGTTAGGTCTTATTTTCAGGGAAACAGGGTATAAGGTTTGTTATGCAACTTACTTTATCCTGGTTTGGCCTGTATTTCTTTCATATTGTGTTTGTGATTGACATCAAAATAAAGGTTGAGAATGGCTGATCTAAAATATTCAGTATTGTGGCACATAAGTAAAGGCCTGTGTGTTCAAAACTGTCTTGACAATGATTAAAAACGATTGCAACAAATGATTACACATGACAATGATTACAGTCGATTACAGCTAATTGTTTTGAATCTTCTGATTTTCAGGTAAAATACAGAGGTACTACATTTTTTGGTTATGTCGGTTTGTGGACTGGACAGAGCCCATACAAGTTTACAATCTCTGGGGACGAACGTGGTGAGTGAAACTCATTCTTCTTAAATAGACTAGAATATAGCCCGCACTCCATGTAAATTTCAACGCAGAAAATAAATTACAAAAAATCTTGTGATCGCTAATACATTAGTCCGTTTAGGTCCTGGATTTTGACTGTAGTTCTGCTCCGTTTTTGCAGAAATCTGTGGGTGATAAAGGTACAGGAAGGAGGGTTGCTAGGTAGTACTCATTAAAGCTAGGGAATGTGGTTGGTGAACTAGGGTGAGGAATGGGAGAAAACCCTTCTGTGAAATTTACCCCTGCAAACTAGAAAATGTGGCGTTAGGGGTTACCTGGTCTCCAGGTTTTCACCAAAGAATCACTGCCCATGTTACCGACATAGTACTCTCCAGGTGATTGATTACAAAATATATTTGTACGTTTATTCATTTAAAGCTAGGGAATGTGGTTGGTGAACTAGGGTGAGGAATGGGAGAAAACCCTTCTGTGAAATTTACCCCTGCAAACTAGAAAATGTGGCGTTAGGGGTTACCTGGTCTCCAGGTTTTCACCAAAGAATCACTGCCCATGTTACCGACATAGTACTCTCCAGGTGATTGATTACAAAATATATTTGTACATTTATTCATTTATTTACTTAAAATATTTTCAGCTTTCCTTTCTTCCAAGAAATGACATAAAGGTGGCTTACAGTATTAAAAAATAGGTAAAGGTAACGGTTCCCCTTGACATTTAGTCCAGTCATGTCCGACTCTAGGGGGCATTGCTCATCCCCATTTGCAAGCCGTAGAGCCAGCATTTGTCCGAAGACAGTTTCCGTGGTCACGTGGCTAGCACGACTAGACGCAGAACGTCGTGACCTTCCCACCATGGTGGTACCTATTTATCGGCATGCATTTTTACATGCTTTCGAATTGCTAGGTTGGCAGGAGCTGGGACGAACGACGGGAGCTCACTCGGTCACGTGGATTCAATCTTACTATCTGCTAGTCTTCCGACCTTGCAGCACAGAGGCTTGTGCGGTTTAACCTGCAGCACCACCACGTCCCCTAACGTGGTGTTTATTTAAAAAATAAACAGTGCAAAAAGATAAAAACAATAAGTTATTGCAATATTAAAAAATAATTAAGCAAGTCTAATACTAGCCTGCTTGAAGAGCAACAGCTTTGTCTCCTTGCAAAAGGACAGCAAAGATGGGGGCCAGCGTGGTCTCTTGTGGAAGGGAGCTCCCGAGTCTGAAATAGCAACAGAGGAGACCCTCTCCAGATGTACCCGTGGAGGTGATGGGGCCAAGAGGAATACCTCCCCTGATGTTCTTAACACCGAAGCATGCTCATAGAGGGAGTCAAGGAACTCAGGATAGCTTGGACTGGAGCTGTTTAGAGCTTTATAGGTTGAAATCCACCATATGAACTGTGTGTGAAAATGGACTGGCAGCCAGTGGAGCAGCTGTGTATTCCCTTCTCCCCTGCCTAGTCAATAGTAAGGGATGGTGGGAGTTGCATTCTAGCAACATCAGGTCAGCCACCCATTTCCTATTCTTCTTTTAAATGTAAATTAAAAGTGTGCAGACCTAGGCTTTTGAACTGCAGTTCCCAGAATTCCCCAGCAGCTACCTATGGAATTCTGGGACCTCGAATTCTGACTGTTGTTATGAACATAACCCTGGTTACCAACGGTTTGTTGTAGGAGGCGTGACATGATATTATAGAGAATTTCACTGGGTATCCAAGGATGGACGGATGGATTCAAAGTGGTGTTTTTCAGTCAGAGCTTTTGCTTTGGGAGAGAGATCAAACTTTGAAACCGTTCAGCGTTGCCCAACTTTGCGGTGGCCGATTCTCATCGTTGTCTCCTCTTTGTAGATCAAGGGAACTGGTGGGAGAATGCCGTGGCTGCTTTTCTGAGGCACAGTAGTCCAGTCAGCTGGCTCACCAGGACCGTATGTAGGCACAATTTTATCCTTTTTTAATACTGCGTTTCCAGAAGTAAGTTCTCATCCACTTAGTTCTGTTCCTCACTAATGCTGAAGCTGCATCTGATGACATACTATCTTCTGCCGATGATGTTCAATTGACTTTTGCCAGAGCTGGAAAACTTTATTTTTTTTGGGGGGGGGGACAGCAAATTTCCTCAATCCTGCTGCCAGTAGCCAGGCTGATGGAGGATTGGGGGAACTGTAGTCAAACAAATAAATTTTTGAAGCTGTCCTTGATATAATGCCTGCTGTTACCTTGAAGCGCAAAAAAAGATAAAAGCGGTTCAAGGCAAAAAAAAAGCAAATGTTAAAGTATAATATATTAAGTAATCAATGGAGACTTAAAATTAGCATTCCAACGACAGTTCTCAAACTCAGCAGCACAGAACATCTAAGTAGAGAAGGGGAAGATCCTCTGAATGATGCGGGCCACCACGAAGAAGTCTATTCTTGAGTTTTTAAGGCACAAATATTGACTGTTTTCCGCTGCTTTAAAGAAATCTGAAAAAGCTGAATAGGAACGTTCAAACTCTGTACCTTCTTTGCTTTAGGTTCTGAGTGAAGCAGAAGATTTTGAAGCTGCAGTCCATATGCTGTCTAAGACGCCAATAATAGCCGACGTTTTTGAAGCTGCAGTCGATATGCTGTCTAAGACGCCAATAATAGCCGACGTCTACTACATCGTTGGAGGTGTGACACCCAAGGAGGGTGTGGTCATTACAAGAAAGAGGAGTGGTCCAGTAGATATTTGGCCCTTGGACCCTTTGTCTGGTGGGTAAGTGATGGATTTCACTAGCAGAGGAAAGACAGAGTGAGTGATGGCTTTCTATGGGAAGGAATGGAAATGCTCACTTTGGACCAGTATGTATCCAGATTGGGTCCAGGGCTAATTTCTCTTGCACCCACACACTACTATAAAATGAGTATCTATGTGTTCACGTGCTGTTCTAAATTATATTCCGATAATAACTTTGAAGTGTGACTTGTGTTTGTAGTTGGTACCGGGTGGAGACAAACTACGACCATTGGACAACCCCACCTCCTTTTGACGATCGAAGGTGAGCTGTGCTGTGGAGTGATGCTAAGAGATTATTCCTTGTATGTTTAAATTAAAACAACCGGTACAATCCTTTGGGTCTCCAGATGCTTTGGAGTGCAGTTTTTCCAGTCTCTTACCACTGGTCAGGCTTGCTGGGGGTTGTAGGCACAGCGTACATGCTTTAATGTACACAGCAGCCAGTGTGTTGTCATGGATGTTGTATGTCCTACTGGCATATCTGAAGTCAGAATTAGGGGCTGGGAGTTCTAAGAGGCATGGATTTTAGTTCCGTTCCTTCATTGCCTCTTCCTGTCACTAGCAGAACACAAACCAATTACAGAACTTTTTAAATATTTTTTATTATGTAGAACTCCAGCCGTCAAAGCACTGAATGCTACCGGACAGGAAAATATTAATCTAAAGTCACTGTACAAGGTAAGCCATCAGTTTTATGTCATGATCCTTAGAGACAACTGCAACGACAGATAAACAGGATAAACAGGGCACAGTTTGCTGTCCTCTGAAGATGCCGGCCACAGAGACTGGCGAAACGTTAGGGAGAACCACCTTCAGAACACGGCCAAGAAGCCCGAAAAATCCACAACAACCAAACAGGATACTCTTGTCTTCTGATCTGCAAGTTGAGTCAAGGCAGCTGGACTTCTTTCTTGTTAGGTTGAAATGTTTCGCTCCTCATCCAAGCGGCTTCTTCAGTCTGAGGAGAGTTGGTAGGAGACCCCTGACAGATCCTCCACGTTGGTTTCATTTGCCTCTGGTCTGAATAGGCTGAAACATTTCAACCTAAGAAAAAAGAAGTCCAGTTGCCATAACTCAACTTCCATAGATATCCACACCTGGACGACTGAGAATATCTTCACAGATAGTTTTCTGCTTTAAAAATGTTCTGGAAGAATTTCTCTAGCTTCTCCCTCCCAACCCCAAAAAGAAAAGGAATATATGCCAAATGAGGAAAATGGAGTTACAGGTACATATAGCAAGCCATAGCCTTGTATATCATTTATTTTCCTGTTCAGAAGCCTAACATGGTGTCTGAAGAAGATTCTAGTCTGTCCTGCATTATGAAGAGGATGTACTGCTGCTTATCTTTTTGAGAATACAGTAGCACCACAGTATTTGTGTGCAATTGGTTCCAAGCCTGTCCCCTGCAGATGCCAAAACCCATGGATAATAGCGTTGTTGTTGTTTAGTCGTTTAGTCATGTCCAACTCTTCATGACCCCATGGACCAGAGCACGCCAGGCCCTCCTGTCTTCCACTGCCTCCTGGAATTTGGTCAAATTCATGTTGGTAGTTTCGATGACACTGTCCAACCATCTCATCCTCTGTCGTTCTCTTCTCCTCTTGCCTTCACACTTTCCCAACATCAGGGTCTTTTGCAGGGAGTCTTCTCTTCTCATCAGATGGCCAAAATATTGGAGCCTCAGCTTCAGGATCTGTCCTTCCAGTGAGCACTCAGGGTTGATTTCCTTCAGAGCAGATAGGTTTGTTCTCCTTGCAGTCCAGGGGCCTCTCAAGAGCCCTCCTCCAGCACCACAATTCGAAAGCCTCAATTCTTCGGTGGTCAGCCTTCTTTATGGTCCTGCACGGCATAGCCCGTACCTTCTCTGAATTACTCAAGCCCCTTCGCTGTGACAAGGCAGCAATCCATGAAGAGGGGGGATAATAGTATACTCTCTCTATATTATTGTCTCTCACTCCCTTTAGTGGTTAGTTCTGGTAACTACATTGTGGAAAATACGTATTTCTGGGTTTTTTTCATTTAGTATTTTTAATATATTCAGATTGTGGATCAGTAAAGCCATGGATACCAATGCTATGGATACCAGCGTCCTACTGTGAAATATTTTAGGGGATTCTAGTCTTAATCAGCCCAGTTATTAACACACATCGATGGAAATTTATTGATCCAGCTTCCAAATGCAAACAAACTAACAGAGCCAAACACCCTTGATCTAATACACATAATACACATGTAAACCTTGAAAATAGTAATATCTTTTCTCTACGTACTTTTAGCATTGAATGTAATTTCTAGGACCACATCCTAATGGATAACTCATCTGCAGGTGCCTTCAATAAGAGCATGCCAAGTTCTAGGATGTCATGTTCTTCCATTGTGTTCCTTTCAGGTACTCTCCGTGCAACCCGTTTTGAACAAGTAAGTTTGTTTTAAATGCTCACTATGATCCCTAAGTTTGGATCCTCACCCTGATTGGTTGTTCACAGAGCTTAGGAAGTTACTTTTAAAAAGTAATTTGTTAGGTCAGTTGCTACAAAGTCCTCCCACTTGAAAGTAATTTGTTGTTGAACCCCCATGTTCAAAATTGCTGTTTTTATTCTGGCAACTTCCTGTGTCACTTGTTACTTTGAAACAGGACCGTATAGTCCCTGCTACTCAGAAAGTCCCAGGACGTCCTCCCTGTGAGCTCAGGCTCCACTACGTCACTGCTGTTTAGGGACCTTGCAAAGGAATCTGGTTGAAATAAGAATCTTATCTGTACTTTGCCCGCTCTGTTCTCCTTCTTTACCAGGGACACCATTTATACCACTGTAATGAGTGCTGCGGCTCCAGACCAGTATATGACGCGGGTCAGGACCCTGGAATGAAGATGAGTAAGTCCTGAGTCAACCCCTTAATAGTCGTGGGCAAATATTTATTCTATTCTATTTATTTCTGACATTTCTATACCACACCCTCTAGTGGCATGCCACCACTCTCTGCACAATTTCCAAACCACAAATCTCCATGATGACGAGGTTTTGCGATCGCCATTGCGCTTCCCGACCTTAATAGTCGTGTACAAATATTTATTCTATTCTATTTATTTCTGACATTTCTATACCACCCCCTCTAGTGGCATGCCACCACTCTCTGCACAATTTCCAAACCACAAAAATATAAAAAGGAGGACAAGGTTCTTGAAAACACAAGATGTTTTTAAACAGAGACAAAAGCAAAACAAAGGCAGAAATTAGATTTGAATTCCTAGGTCTTCTCACAACTAGAGTGGAGCCGAGAGCCAACAAGGCTGGTTAAATAGCTAAAATAAATCCCTGCTAACTGCATTTATAATATAATACAGTGGTACCTCGTAAGACGATTACTCCGCAAAATGACGAATCCACATAACGATGAGGTTTTATGATTGCCATTGCGCTTCACAAAATAGTGTTTCCTATGGGCGATTTTCTCTGGACTATGTTTCAGTCTGTGCTTCGCAAGACGATTTTTTTGGGATCGATGCTTTGCAAGACAACGATTTATATAGCTGATCAGTGGCTTCGCAAAATGGCTTCCCTATGGGTGATTTATGCAAAATGACAACTATTTTCCCCATTGGAACGCATTAAACGGATTTCAATGCATTCCAATGGGGAAATGCTTTTCGCAAGACGATGTTTTCACTAAACAGCGATTTTAATGGAACAGATTAACATCGTCTTGTGGGGCACCACTGTATGATATAATATAATATGTAGTTCTTTTTAAAAATGTCCTTGGTACGTTTGACCATATGTTTCCTATAAACCCCAACTTACACAGGGCTAGGAAACATGTTAATATTAACATTAAAATTATTACTTTTGCATGAAAAAGAGGGATTAAATAAACTGATGCCATATAACATTTTTAATGTAATGAGTTAGCATTTCTTTTAAAGCGTTATGGTTCAAAGATTTGATGCATCCATTTGGTTGTGTCCATGTAACACAAAAGTAAGTGTTGTAACATGAACTCATTAGGTCTAACACATTATTTCCAAGCTCTCTTACACTCGAGAAAAGCAGTCTGCCTTATCGAAGAGGGACGATGTAAACCGTTTCAGACTGCAGCTGTGTGGTCTATTATTTAACACATTATTTCCAAGCTCTCTTACACTTGAGAAAAGTAGTCTGCCTTATCGAAGAGAGAAAATGTAAACCGTTCAGACTGTAGCTATGTGGTCTATTATCACAAAGAGGTCATTAGCCCTCAGTTAATTTTAAATTATTCTAAACACTCTGGTCTGAATCCACTCGGCCGTGCTTCGTTGATGACAGACAATGCTTCGAGTTGAGACATTTTGCTTCAGAGACATCCGTCAACTAGCAAGTTGATGACTGTGCTGTGTATCTACAAACCGCAGTTTGTTTGTGGGTTTGCTCTGTCTTCAAACGATAGGCAGAACAGTTACAGTTGGGTGCCTCAGTGACCTTGAAGTAGATGGATAGCTGTGGTCCTGGGGGCTGAGGGAAGTCAGAGCCGGGAGACAACAAAGGAGATAATGAATACAGTGGTGCCTCGCAAGACAATGTTAATTCGGTCTGGGAAAATTGCTGTTAAGCGAAAACATTGTCTTGTGAAACACGTTTTCCTGTTGAAATGCATTGAAAACCTGATAATCCATTCCAATGGGAACGGATTGTCATCGTAAAGCGAAAATTGCCATAGGAAAGATCGTTAAGCGAAACACAGTTCCCAAGCGAAGACAGCCATCTAACGAAACAGAGACCATTAAAAGACTCGTATAGCGAAGCAAGACCAAGCTGTCAAAAACATCGTAAAGCGAAAAACAGGGACCTAAAATTTAACCGTTTTGCGAGGCAAGGTCCCTAACACTGTAAAGCGAAAATCGCCCATATAAAACATTGTTAAACGAAGCGCAAGATCACTCCAAAAGCCTCATCGTAAAGCGAATTTGTCATCATGTGAAGCAATCGTCTTGCGAGGCACCACTGTATCCTGTACTAGGGGCATGAGGGGATGCTGAGTGTCCGAAGCTGCCTTATGATGGCCCATGATTTTTATTTCTGTTTTGTTGTGTTGTGTTCCATTTTAGTTCATTTCATTCCTGTAACAGACTGGAAATGCTGTTCTTCTGTCTTTGCTGAACTGTCTTCAGTGTCTCTGGTTTCTTAGTTTGTTATGGTGCAGATAATAAACAATTTATTTATTCGATTGAAATCAGTAGCCATTCAGGATAAGCAGCCTTGCAGGTGAAACAATAGCCATTCATAAGCGGTGGCTGCTTTTACCTGGTCATAAGAAGGAATTCACCCTGTTTAATATCCTTCCTCTCCTTTTCTCTGTGTTCCCCAGGAAAGGAAGAAGCAAATATTTCAAAAGATGCATAATGGGTTCAACTGGCATGCAATGCGGTCACAGAGTACAAGCATGGATCTAGACATGCGCTTGGATTTCAACATGGTTTTTCTCCAAGCAAGTCACTAGTGCTAACAATGTGAAGACGAGATAAACAACGCCTGATGAAGTGTCAAATGCTGAGGGAAATCTACAGCAGGGTTTCCATGTGTTAACATTCAAGGCTCTAACACAAGGCCCTGTGCCTTATCCTTTCCCCTGTAATTAGGGAAAGGGGAATCTACTATGCTGATAAACCCAGGGTTGCAAATGTATCTTATACAGGTTGCAGAAGTCAACTTTTTAAGTTGGTGCTCAGTTGGGTTTTCCATGGCACATTGTTATTTCTGTCATTACTTCCTAGGTGATTATATTCCAAGGGGATAATGGGTGATTTCTTACATCTAGTCCATGTTGACTTCCAGAACAAGTTAATGAATCAATAATTTGCTTCAGTTTTTTGATCCGAAGGTTTCTGCAAGCTCAGAGGATAGGTGGCAGCCACATTGAAGAAACCCAAAAAAGTTGCAAATTCTTCCGTACTGAGATGAGAGATTGGCTTGGAATGCCCTTGGTATGCTACCTTTTTGTGGAGGACAAGCGTGGTATCAGTGAAATAATCTTGATGGCAGAGAACACGAAGAAATGGCAGTTGGCAGTGGGTGATGAAATGATTTCCGGACAAGAAGTGGACCTTGTTTTTGCTGCATGGGAGGAATTTTGAGAAAGTTGGAGAATGGTTATATTGGATACTACTGACACAAAATGATGCCAGGATGCCCAGCCCAGCCCTGTATGCTGGCCTTTGTACATTTGTTTTTTAAAATCCAAAATCTTGACTTTTTTTGCCAAGGGCTTCAGGCTGGCTTTTTAATCCTGCGAAAGAATTGATAGCCATATGTTGAAGCTTAGTTGTTTTAAGGCTTGAAGTTATAGCCTGCAGGCAGGAATGAAAAGTTGGTGGATGATTTTATTATTGTTATTACTGGAATGCAATGAAATATTCTGTTGTGGATATTTGGTGCTGAGCCTGAAAATAAACCAACTTACAAAGAGGAAATGCCTTTTCTCTCTTCTTCTGTCCTGAATATTTGCAATCTATCCCACTTTCTCATGCTTTGGCAAAATTGCATCAAAGCCTGGGCATGTCAGAGCCACAAAAAAAAGCTGCAACAGAAAAAAACAGTCTGATTTATTCTTCTTTAGGTACCTGTGAGCAAAGAGCATCTTCAGAAGCCTGTTCCACTGAATTTATTTGTTACAGGCTGTTGCAAAGTATTGTGTGTTATGAGCGTTGTTCTCTGTTTTTATGCTCTAAAAAAAATAACATGAGAGGGTCAAAAGAGAAGGTGCCATCATTTGCATCGCAGCTGGCAAGACTTGCTTTTTGAAAGATCAGTGCCGGGACGGCCTGAACGGATGGGGGATTCTGGGGGTTGTAGTCCAAAACCATTAAAGTTTAACATTCTGGCTTAACTACTGTAAAAGGCAGTGTCTGAGATGGGATAATTGGGCATGGAAACCTCAAATGCAAACACACGGTCCTATATTTCCGCAATGACAGTTGTTCTCAAACACCTTATTTATTTATTTATTTATTTATTTATTGTATTAGATTTGTACTCCGCCCATCTAGACCAAAGGTCTACTCTACATCATCCTTAACCAAGGGGGGGGGGGAGATCGCTCCACCTCTTCCCTCATGATTCATGGTTCAGATTCTTCTTGGTCTCCCCCCTCCATAGGCTATAATACATCCTGATGGTTGTTTTGATTTTGGATGGAGCAGCTCTAAACTGGTCTTGTGTTGAGTAAACCCAGTCCTTTTCCTTTCTGCAAGCCGTTCTAAGATGATGGTGAGAATGAGGATGGTTAGAAAATACAAGGCATAGTCCTTGACTAGTATTATATAACACATACAAGTTTTGACCAAAAAACTAAGTATTGGTTAAATATAAGTGTAATATAGTTTGTTGTTTAGTTGTTAAGTCATGTCCCATGGACCAGAGCATGCCAGGCCCTCCTGTCTTCCACTGCCTCCCAGAGTTGGGTCAAATTCATGTTGGTTGCTTCGATGACACTGTCATCCATCTTGTTCTCTGTTGTCCTCTTCTCCTCTTGCCTTCACACTTTCCCAACATCAGGGTCTTATCCAGAGAGTCCCTAATTATGCTGTCCCTAATATTGCCTTATTTTGCATCTCTGATGGATTTCAGAGATCTGCAGCTGATTATAATATTTTATAAAATTCAATAGCATCATTCCCAGTGTCTATTGAATGAATGCCTCACTTGTAGATAAAATGTGTTTCATCCACAAGGGAGTTGTTTCTGTCCTCAGGTCTCTGTATTTTTCCCCCCAATTCTTTATATTAACACCTGCATCCCCCGGAATTGCAATGTTAATTATACAGACTTTTTTTATTCTACCGTTTCCCCGAAAGTAAGACCTAACCTGAAAATAAATCCTAGTATGATTTTTCAGGATGCTTGTCATATAAGCCCTGCCCCAAAAATAAGCTCCAGTGAAGTGAAAGCCCACCCTCCCCCCTTGTGCAGCAACCAGAAAATGACATGACTGTATTTGAATAAATGTAGATTGTACATGAAAAAAAATAAGCTTCCCCTGAAAATAAGCCCTAATGCGTTTTTTGGAGGAAAAATTAATATAAGACCCCATCTTATTTTCAGGGAAACAGGGTATTACTGTTATGTTTGGTGTATTATGCTCAAGGTGTCTGTAGTAGTAGTAATAGCATGCTCTTCTTCTTATTTCTTTTGCCATTTATTTATCTTGAATGATCAATGAGCTGTACTTCTTGTTTCTCATTACGTAGCTGGTTTTCTGCGTTCTGTGTTTTCTGCACTGCATGATCTTTCAGTCTAGTTGTTTGTTTTATTTGTCGTTCTTGCGATTCAGTAACTTCTTCACATCCTCCAGTGAAATAATATTTCAAATGCTGCGATCTTTCCTTGTCGTTGCCTTTATTAAAGTACGTACGTTATTCCCTTTTACACAGTAGAACCGAAAACAGATCCGAACTTTTAAAAAGTCTGTAGTTCTTCTAGTTGAACAATGTGTCTGGGTAGCTGTGGTTATGATAGACACTTCAAGAGGAAATTTCTTAGTGTTTTCGTTGTTGTTTACCTTCCGCTTGCCAGAGCTTAGCCAGATCTAATCTTAAACTGTGATGTGAATTGGGCTATGTTGATATTGTGGCCGCCAACGGGGCATCATCCCTACCCACCCAGATCCTCACTTTCCAGAAATAAAACTGTGTTTTGAAGTCAGCAGCAGTCTTGTTGCTATGGCTTTAATCCGATCAAGACTTCACCCTAAGTGTCGCTTCGGTATCTAATTACCTACACACTCCGCTCTATCTGTGGATAAGAGAGCTTTGCATTGATCCAGGTTGTAAAGCACAGCAGTGGTAAACAAGTCCCCCTTCCTCATTAGGTAATTGGCATGGAAAATAAACAGCATCTGGAATTCTGGGTCATCTAATGTATTTGGTTGGAAGCAGATTCTGCTCCCAATATTCTTGATACTATATATATATTTCAAATAGAGTAATAAACAATCGATTCTGCTCCCAATATTCTTGATACTATACTGTATATATTTTTAAAATAGAGTAATAAATGATTACCATAAAATGAGATAGTGATTATTTCCTTCTAGGTTAAAAGTCAAGAGACACTACGTGTACTCTTTATTTTTTTGACCGGGGTGATCTCAACTGACATATTTAGTTTAGGATTGGCCCAATCATCAGGGAGAATGGAGCTGGTGCCCCTTAAATTAGCCTGTTGCCTTGACGTGCAGTGCAAGATACCATCCCACAGCCAATGTGGAATGGACAGTGCTATCTTATCCCTCACCTTGGCAACCAAATGGTCTTCAAAAAGCCCTGGTTCTGTGTCACATCTAATTTGAGCTTAAAGGCTGCATCTGAAGTACACCTACAAGGAGTTCTCGTTCCATCCCATGTATGTTTGAGTCATAAATAAACCTCACGGATCCGGTTTTTTAAAAACCCTCTCCTGAGGGAATGGGCCTTGAAACCTAAATGAACCCGAGTTACGTTGATAGTTGATATTCTGATTTAGACAACACTGTTATGAGCAGGCCTGACATTCACCTCATCCGCTGATTCTTGGCTGGCCTTGTCTCTGTTTTATTACTAATCCTTGACTGTACAACACAAGACGCCGTCCAGTTTTGGAAGTTTGTGCCTTCTATTATTCTTATTTGTGGGCTGCCTTATGTGTTTACCAAGCAAAAAGGAGATTTAAAAAAAAACAAGCAAACCCAAAACAAAAGCCTAAATAAACATTAAATTCCAGTTTGCTGGGGTATTGGAATGTTCCAGAGGATCAGCACCTTGATTATTTTACAGCCCTCACAGCTTGTACCCTCCATTTTCTTGAGTTTAGGTTTCTCTTAGTCATTCCTTACTTCTTTCTCACAGCTCTCTTGCAAAAGGACTGTCTTCCATTTTTGCCACATTTAAGGCTGAAGTTCTGGAGGAAATTCCAAACATCCCTTCCAATTATAGATGGTTCTTCGTCTCCAGGTGTACCCCTAGGTTTGTCTGATCAATTCCTTAGATGAGAAAGGCCAGCTGAGTACTGTATATTTTTTTGCGCCTAATCCCCCTGGGCAAGTAATCCTAATCCATTTCTGTCCCCTTGCTTTTCTCATCACGTGGGCAAGGCTAAGAAGGACTTCGCGGTAACTAAACAAAGTGGCGAGTCCTCTTTCAGAAGGTAGAAAAGAGATCTGTGTTTCCTTCCTCTAGACATCGGGGTGCAGACAGTGTTGAAGGCTGATGCAGAGTTATAAATGCATAGAGACATTTAAGAAAACCCAGGCTTTCAAGTGAAAAAGTGTTCTGCTTATGTACTGCCCTATAATGCTTAAAGCAGTCTCCGGGCAGTTTGCAGTTAAATTGTGCAGGCTACATATTGCTCCGTCAGCAAGCTTGGCATTCATTTTACTGACTTCGGAAGGATGGAAAGCTGAGCCAACCTTGAGCTGGCTATCTGAGCCCAGTCTCGAACTCAGCTCATGAGCGGAGTCCTGATTACAGGACTGCAGTTTAACAAGAGCAACACGAGAGACTGGTTGAAGCTTCAAAGACCAAGTGCTTCACCTCCAAATCAGACATTAGAGAAAAAAGGGTAAGTTCTTTTTCAATACTTATAAATTTGACTTTGACTTTATCTGCAGATATTATCAGCGCAATATTTCCTTGCTCTTAATGATGTCCACTTAGAAATAGGCAAGGAAGTGCAAAAAAAAGAGAGGACATTTTGTTACAGCCTACTGGCCAGTCTCTCCAAGATGTGTGTGCTGTTTGCAAATAAGTTACAAAGAATCAGTAAATGTTATTTATTTTTTCAATTAATTAAAATGTAACAAAGCACAAATATAATGCAACTTGACAATGGATAACACTGATATTTCTGTGCGTGGATGGAATCTTACTATGTTTTCTAGTTAGAAAGTATGACCTCACTAATGATGGAGGAGGAATATCACATGGTGAAGTGCCGGCTTGTGCTCAATTTCTCATGCGCCACTACAAGCTCTTACGGGTGCCAAGATGAACACAACGGACTTGTCCTCAGGCCAGTGATTTACACTCTTCAGATGCATGGTAGTTTAAAAGAAACTATGTTAGTAACTATACCCATGCGTACATTCCTGGTATGCCAATTAAGGTAACTTCTAATGCATCTGATTAAGTAAGCTCTAAAGCTACAAAATGTTTTTTTTAATGAAAAGCAATTTTTAAAATTTTAAACATTCAGAAAACTCAGCAAAGAGATTCTGCTTGTTACCTATTTCTTTGGAAGCACATACTCTGACTCTGAAAGTCAGTGCCGGTCTCCTGCCCCCAGCATAAATCCCTCGTCTCTGTGCTCAGCCAGTGACTAACACATCACAGGATAGTTCTTGCTGCCTATTCAGCAGTAATAAATTTAGACCTGCTTACAAGGAAGCAGCCTGATCAGCCACAAGATCAATTACAAAGCCCATATAGTGATAACATAT